GCCCGGGACCAGCCACTGCACTCCAGTCTGGGCGACAGAGTGAGACTCCAACTCAAAAAAAAAAGAATTTAAACATATTCTTGAGTGCTGGAGTAGTTCCATTGATTTTCAACACAGTAAGTATTTTATTATAGGATTATACCATAATTTATATATCCATTCTATTGCAGATTAAAACTTAGGTTGTTTCCTCAAATCTTTTGTTGCACATATGCATGCATTTCTGTTGGATATACAACTGAGAGTGAAACTGTTGGGCCACAGACTATATATATTCTCGCATTAGTAGACACAGTCAAACAGTTCTGCCAAGTGGTTGTACCAATTTACATTCTCACCAGCAGTACATAAAATTCTAATTGCCCTAGTGCTTATCAACATTTGGTATTGCCAGTAATATTATTTTAACCATTCTGATGGGTGTCCTTTATTATTATTAATTTTTTTTTTTTTTTTTTGAGTTGGGAATCTCACTCTGTCGCCCAGCTGTAGTGCAGTGGCACACTCACAGCCACCCCAGCATCGACTTGCTGGGCTCCAGCGATCCTTCTGCCTCAGTCTTCTAAGTAGCTGGAACTACAGGGGTATGCTACCACACCCAGCTAATTTTTTTTAATTTATTGTAGAGACGAGATCTTGCCAAGTTGCCCAGGTTGGTCTAAAACCCATGGGCTCAGGTAATCCACTTGCTTCGGCCTCCCAAAGTGCTGGGATGGCAGGCTGAGCCACCAAGCCCAGCCTATTATTTTTTTTTTTTTAATGGTGTCTTGCTATGCTGCCCAGGCTGGTGTACAGTGGCTATTCACAGCCTCAAACTCCTGGGCTCACTTGATCCTCCAGCCTCAGCCTCCTGGGTAGCTGAGGTATAGACCTCAGGCTTATTTTTGAAGACCAGAATACACTGCTGGCAGAATTAATTACAGAATGTTTGGATGTAAGTATGGCTTTACAGGTTTCAAATGAGTTGCAACTCCTTTATGGATACCAGAATTATAAAGCTGCCTGGCACAGTGGTTCATACCTGTAATCCTAGCAATCTGGGAGGTCGAGGCAGGAGGATTGCATAGCCCAGGAGTTCAAAACTAGCCTAAGCAACATAGCAAGATTTTGTCTCTACAAAAAAATTTTTAAAATTAGCTGGGTATGGTGGCACACACCTGTAGTTCCAGCTACTTGGGGGACTGTGGCAGAAGGATCACCTCAGCCCAGGAGGCTGAGGATATGGCAAGCTGTGATCGCATTACTGTACTCCGGCCTGGGTGACAGAGGAGGCCTTTGTCTCAACAATAACACCAAAGAAAACATAAGCTGGTCAGGTCATCTGATAGAAAAAGAAAGGGCAAAACACAAAGGTACAGAGGTAAAAGAAGCTGGGTGCAGTGACTCGCATCTGTCATCCCAGCACTTTGGGAGGGAGAGACGAGAGGACTGCCTGAGCCCAGGAGTTCCAGACCAGCCTGGGCAACTTGGCAAGACCGCATCTCTACAATAAATAAAAAACCTAGCTGGGCGTGGCTGTGTGCACCTATAGTTCCAGCTATGTGGAAGGCTGAGGTGGAAGATTGCCAGAGCCCAGCAAGTAGAGGCTGCAGTGACAATGAGTGTGCCACTGCACTCCAGCCTGGGCTACGGAGTGAGATTCCTGCTCAAAAAAAAGAAAAAAAGAAAAAAAAAGTGTAGCGGTAAAAGAGTAAAATCACAAATACAAACAGGTTTTTTCCAATCATAAATCGGAATATATATGAGTAAATCTGTGATATTGAGTAGTTACTACTGTCTGGGTGCTTTTTCATAGATTTCCATATCTCACATGCCTATAAGTAGTAAGCAGACCTTTCTACAGTTAGAACTCGGTCAAGACGTTCCTTCTCAAGGTCTAACACAACTAAAGACTGTTGGTAACAGTCTTATAAATGACCACACTTTTCTGGGGAAAAAAGAAAGAATATATTAATGTCGGATAGAAAATGCTACTATCAAATTTTCAAATACTTTCCTGTTGGGTATAAAATCATAAGCTCATTTAATAGTGAAATAATAAAAAAATGGGACCCAGATAGCTCTGTAAAATGGAAGCATATTTTCCTAATTATAAATTCTCTAAATTCACAGAAATTTTGAAATTCCAGTTGAACTATAGGCATGCACTATCATGCCTGGCTAATTTGTTTGTTTGATTTGTTGTACAGACAAGGTCTTGTCAAGTTGCCCAGGCTGGTCTCGAACCCCTGAGTTCAGGCAATCCTATTGCCTTGGCCTCCCACAGGGCTGGAATTGCAGGCTTGAGCCACTGTGCCTGGCCTTAAATTCTAATTATGAAAGACGTCATTTATCCATCTAACATTTACCTGATGTAAGTACAATAATCCAAAGATATATTGAATTTATATTAATTAATATTATAAGCAATACATTTATTTTATTTTTACAGAACACCACTTTTTATCTTTATTATGATAATATGGTAACGATACTAAAAGAGAAAATTAGAAAATAGAGAGGAAGCCGGGCTCAGTGGCTGTAATCCCGTGCCTTTGGAAGGCTGAGGTGAGTGGATTGCCTGAGCCCGAGGGTTCGAGACCGCCTGTGCAGCGAGACCTCATCTCTACAATAAATAAAAAAATCAGCTGGGCGTGATAGCACATGCCT